TTTTCAAATATTAATAATAGTAATTGCAATTTTAGTTGGAGTAATATTAGTTGGAATAGCAACATTCATGATTGTAAGATATAGAAAGAAAAAAAATGAAACTCCAAGTGAAATCTTAGAAATTCCTGGTGATCAACAGCTTGAATATAGAAATACCCTATCTTATCCTAATACACCACCTTATCCTAATACACCACCTTATCCTAATACCTCATCTTATCCTAATACCTCATCTTATCCTAATACTCCATTTCGTTAATAATATTATGATATTGATTATGTCAACTCCACTAAGATTATTTTTTTTAATTTATTAAATTGGTGGATCCTAACATTCCCCCTTGTATTAACTAGTTTTATTTCTTGGAAAGTGTAAGCATTTTAAAAATAAATGATTTTAATAAAGAGTAGTTATTGCAACCTTTTTCAAGGAAATATTTAGAGCGTTACAATAAACAATAGTTTGAGAGGTACTGTTGGTAGTGGAAGCTTGTTAAAATATATATACTGCAAATTGTTAATGTATTAGTATAGAGAAATGAATGTCAAGCATTGTCAAATGGAAGCACCTGTTTTATAGAAGCAAGTGGTTCCAAAAAGCTGTAATTAATCAATAAGCTGTAAATTGAGTTCCTTGAGATTAATCTGTGAGGCTAGCTCAATCATTCATCTCCTGTTAAAACTTTGTTGCTGACAAAAAAGTTAACTCGCAATATGTAAAAGTGATCTACATAAAAATTACAAAAAAATGTAATTAAATTATTATTATTGGCATGTACTCCAGCTTTTTAAAGAAAACAACCACAATGGTAACCCAACAAGTGAATGAGATTAATCCAATATAAACTCATATATACACAAAAACTTTTTGTTAGTAGGTTTATTAATAATCTTTGTTAGTGCCTTTGATATCAACTAACCAATCATTATAATCATTCTTGAATAGTTTGTGGTATTGTTGTGCGCGAAAATGAAATCTGTGAATTTGCAATTCACATGTGAAATTAAAATTAGAAGGGTTGGTATTCAACTTGGTTGAAGAATAACTCTCTTCCTAACTCTTCTCTTGACCATATCTCTCGATATAATCAAAATAGCCTTAATATAATGAATGTCTACGAAATGATTGTAAACACAACCAATATTTAAGATATACGATTAAGACAAAACATGAACAATGTATGAAAAAATCAAAACAAATTTATTTAATAAAACAAAATTTACAACCCAAAAAAAATTTTTTTTACATGTTCTAATAAAATTTCCACCATTCAATTTAATTTCTCAGGAAACCTTTTAAGAAGTTGAAGCACAAGTCAGAAATGCAATGACATTGAGTTTACTCATGTTGGTAATTTTTATACGGTTCACTTACCAATGACAGTGGGTAGTTCGAGAATAATATGGATTGTGTCTCACTAGAAAAGATTGTGCCAATTCTTTTTAGAGGAGACAATTCCTGAATACCCGTTTTTTCATTGTTTTCGAGTGTGACGTCTACTTCTGTTGCATTTTCATTGTATGGAATATTTACTTTTCATAGCGTAAAATCATTTGCCTTTATGTTATTAGGAATATTAATCTTTCCTCACTAAAATGACAGAGTTACGTTGATATCGTCAGCATTAACGTCAACTAGAAAAATAAAATTTATCAACACAACAAGACACCAAAATGTCTTGATCACCCGCCTTTTTTTTTCGATTGAGGTTGATGATGATGGTAATGATAATGATTTAGTAAAAATGCCGATACTGTAAAGAAAACAACCGTTTTATTAAAAACTCTTACGTTTTTTTAGATTCTTTATTTCCCTTTCCATTATTGTTCTTTCTGGATCTTTATAATAATATTGAAAGAGTAGTGTGTGCGTAAGATCCTTTATCATAAGGAAGATACATAATTGACTCCTCCAGAATCAGCAGACTCTAATCAAAGTACTTCATGTGCATGCCGCAGCAGATATGAATCTTGTTTTATTTTATTTTATCCTCACAAAGCACTCGCATGTCTGAATATTCTTCTTTTCCTTAACCGCAGAAAACAGAGTGAAGCACACTCGCTACACTTGTTAGCATTTTCACATTGAGAACGTGTAAAATCTATAAAAAATATTGAGAAGTACAAACTACTGCCTATGCCACTTTTTTTTTCGGAAACAGTTGGACCAGAAACCTTAGTTAAATCAACCCAAGTTCTGCTTTTAGTTTTCTCTAGGTTCTTCATATATCAGAAAACCCATAAATTTAAAAATATGTGATGCTGTAATATTTAATAATTCCATAATATTATGAGGTCTCGCCATAAAACTTACATAAGTGGTATAATAATTATGTAAATTTGCGTCAGAAAAAATTTCCTGGTGATGATTTTGTGTTAATGATCTTTTTTTTTTCTTCTTGTAATTTTATAGGTTGCCCTTTCTTTCCTTAGATAAGCTTCAAGTATCTTGGCATCATTTATTTTGAAAACATAAGGAGTAAAGATGGATCCTTGATTAATTACGACTAGAGAAAACTAAAAGCAGAACTTGGGTTGATTTAACTAAGGTTTCTGGTCCAACTGTTTCCGAAAAAAAAAGTGGCATAGGCAGTAGTTTGTACTTCTCAATATTTTTTATAGATTTTACACGTTCTCAATGTGAAAATGCTAACAAGTGTAGCGAGTGTGCTTCACTCTGTTTTCTGCGGTTAAGGAAACTCTGCACCATATATTACAATTCTTTACCGCTTATAATTATTTATACTCTAATTCGAGAATCAGAATTCGAAACCAAAGTTGAAAAAAAGTTTGCATTCTATAATTATATCTTTTAAAATGTTACATTAAATCATGTTTTTTCTCTCTGCTATTACACTTTTAATGGGATGCTTTCGACCAAGAAAAATAAAGGCCTAAAACTATTTGATAATTAAGAACAATAAAGAATTTTTTATGTTGGGAAAAAAAAGGGTCGAGCATTGATTTGATTCGTATAAGTTACACAACCAAATTTTACATCAAAAAAGTTTTTTTTATCTCATAATGTTTTCCTCTTCTTCCTCTCCTTCCACAAACACCACCACAAATAAAGATGAAGTAGGTATAGATCCAATGGAAGAGGAAGCAAAAGTCAAAAGAAAGTTCAACAAATGGCGAAAGAGTATAAAGTATATTACCGGTATAGGTTTAACAGAACAAGAAAAAGAGCAATATAAAATAGAATTAGAAAGAGACTTTAAAGAATATGAATGTAACAGATGTGAAAAAATTAGAGATTCATTAATGAGAAATAGTAAATCAATTTAAATTAATTAATACAATAATTCATTATAATGATTTAATATTTCTTGAAATTCATTCAGTTGTTTCACTATTTTACAAAAAATAAAATTGATTTGAAGGTCCAATTATAATATTTATGTTGAAATCATTAGAAGAAATTGGCTATAAACTTGATAAAAATCATTTTAAATGCCTGCCGTGTGATGAAACGCGTAGTGGTGGCTTTTCACCTGAGTTAGGAATTTTATTATGTCAAAATAGATTTCTTAATAGAAGGCATCAAGAAGATACCATGGCACATGAAATGATACATTTATATGATCATTGCAGATTTAAAGTAGACTGGAATAATTGTTATCATCACGCGTGTAGTGAGGTATTTTTTAATCGACAAGTAGTTCTAATAATAATTATATAACAGTATTTTCAATGATTAATCATTCTATTAGATAAGAGCTGCAAGTTTAAGTGGTGACTGTAGATGGACGCGTGAAATAAGACGTGGATTTTTTGGATTTGCAAAACAACATCAGGTTTTTTTCTCTCAAATCCGCCTTTATTTTTCTATCCAAAGATTTAATGTTTTGATTATTATTTGTATTAACTATAAAAGGCTTGTACAAAACGACGAGCAATACTATCTTTAAAACAAAATGCTTCCTGCTCTGCTCCCGGAGTGGCAGAAAAGGCTGTTGCTGAAGTATTTGAAAGTTGCTTTAATGATACAAGGCCATTTGATGAGATTTATTGATGATTTTAATTTATCTTGTATTTATTATTATTATAATAATAATAATAATAATAATAATAATTCTTTATTTATAATCAATTTAAAATATCCTCACATCTTTATTGTCTCGATTATTTAACCAATTACGCACAACTCCTGCCATTTTGCAATACTCCATGCCGTTTGATCCTTTTCCTTTTTTACCCAAAAATTCATCAATATTATCAGAATCTAATTTAAACTCTTTTAAATAATTTTCGACAATTGATCTACTCGTGCCCGATATTTCTGCAACTTTATTAATATCTTGGTATCTATCGTATAATCCTATTATTAACTGTGCCTTGCCTTTTTTAATTAGATGTGGTTTGATGAAAAATCTATAAGGTTTCAAAAGAAAGTTTAAACGTAGATTTGGCGAAGGATTTGTATTGGATAAAGTAAGGCCGACTCTTGGTGAATTATATACAATTTCTTTATGTTTTAAGTTGTTGGACTTTCTTTTATGTTTCATTGATGATTGTGATGATGATTTTATAAAATATGGCGAACTTACACCTGTAGAATATTTTGCTCTTTTATTAAAATTTCTAATTTTTTCTTCACTTCTACCACCATCATCATCACCACCATCGTCATTGTTGCCATCGCCATCGCTATCATCAACATTTTTGGTATATTTCATTTCTTCCAACCAAATCATTCCATTAAAATTCTTAAAATCCTTACAAATTCCACTTTTTCCCTTCCATTTTACTTCGACCATTTCTTTTATACTAAGGTTATCCACCCCACATAATCTCAAAATCTCATCAACAATTAAACTTGGTCCTTCAATCAACTCGTTCTCATCATCGTCTTCATTATCAATAATTCTTTTTATAGAACGTATTAATATTCCACCATAAGCATTCTCATTGCCAAATGTTATATCGATACCTTTTCTGGTTCCACCTCGATATCCAAATTTACCAACACGATGAAAATACCATTCTCCGCTCGTTTTTTGATGTTCATGTTGATGTGAATACGGATCACAATGCAACAGTGCATTATCATTACTGTTATTTTCTAAAGTGTTGAAATAAAATTCTAATTCAATTATTTGATATTTTTTATTTTTCGGTAGATAAAGTATTACATCGTTTATTAAATATTCTGCTATTTTTTTAAATTGCTCACAATAATGTTTTTCTAATTCATTCTTATTTTCTATTTTTTTTGATGAAACTTTTATTTTTCTTAAAATTTTTGAATCGTTATTGTTGTTATTGTTATCCATAATAATCTGCTCATTTTAGTGGATCTGCAAAAGCACGTTTTGAAATTAAATGGGTTTCACGTGTTAATTTTTACAAGCTTTATTTTTTTTTTTTAATTTAACCTTCAGATGGGATTTCCTAATTTTGATCCTCCACGAGGAGTATTTACACTGCCAATTCCTTGTGATGCAGCTAATATCTTTTGGGAAGATGTTAAAGTTGCTGAACATTTCATACTTCAAAAGACAAAAGCTTCAAGTAATATATTTTTTCGAGGTGTAATTGGCACTATTCAAAATGTGTAAGTTTATAATCCAATAATTACAATCCATTCATTATCTTTTTTAAAAAAATTTATCTTTGCATTCTTACAATATTCTATAATGATTTTTTTCTTGATGTTTGGGGATGGGGAAATTAGCCTTGACACAAAACAACCTCCTTTTCGAATTATTTTTCGTAGTGATCCACTTGGCATTACATTGCAAATTGCTGTATCTGAAACTACAAAAGGCATCGAGGATGCTTGGAAATGGTTAGAAGGTTATTATCTATTATATAATTATAAATTATCATGTTTTCTGTTAATCATCAACTTATTATCAAATTTTGAATTTTTTTAAAAAAAAAGATAGCTTAAGCTCTGAATTACTAAAACTTGATAATCCTGGTGAAAAAGAAAACTACGTTGTTACAAAAATTAATTCTTTGGTCACTAGACAATGTGAATTCTCTTATATAAATTCTTTTCTTGCATTGCAAGTCATAAATTGTTTTTTTGTATTTTTTTTTTCAAAAAATGATAATGGTGATACATACTTTTTGTATCATTGTTAACCTTTAGTTTTTATTTTTTTTTATTTTTTTTTGAAGATAAAGGAACTGATGAAGTTTCTGAAGATGAAAGCGTCAGATCTGCTTCTAGAGCTTTTCACCAAACATTTGACATATCACCAAATGAGAGATTAGTTAATTGTGAGCATTAATCATTAATTGATCGATTTATTCATCATCATCATTGTTGTTATATACATAAAAAATTTCTTCCTTCCTTTTCTCTTTCTTTTTTTTTTTTACTTATAATCAAATATACGTAATCTTCTTTTTTAAAAAAGTTTATTCTTGTGCATATCACGGAGTTAGTCAAGGATGGATGTATATTAGCGAAAATTATTTATGTTTTTATTCTTTCCTACTTGGTATAGAAACAAAGGTAATTATTGAATTAAAGGATGTTCGAAATTTAACAAAAGAAAAATCAAAACGTGGAATGGTTTCAGATTCAATAAAAGTAATTACAAAAGATGATCAAGAGGTAAGTTTTTTTTTAAAAACCCCATTTTGTTTAATCAATTCGATCTAATTTAAAAATTTATTATTGATCCTATTACTAATACCATTAATGTTATTATTAGCATTTTTTTTCAAATCTTTTTCATAGAAATGAAGTAAGAGCTTATATTCTTAATAATAATAATAGTGATATATTATTAATTTCGATTGGGCCTTATTTAAAAAATCATTGTTAACCTTTTTTGCCTTTAGACATATGGCCTATTAATGCAATTAACAAATTTATCGATGCAACGTTTGTTAAAGAATTCTACTTTTGAACCAGCACCAGGAACTTCAATATATGATGCAGATTTAGACCAGATTTCAAATACTCCTGATCAAAAACTTTCATTAAATAAGAACAATTTCGCCGATTCACCAATTTCTCCAATGACACCGCCTTTGAAAAAAGGTCTTGAGGAACAAAAACGTGACACTGAGTTTCAAATAACATTTAACCTACCAACAACTGAACGTTTATTGGACGAATGTGATGTTTTATTTTCAATTCCTGATACAAGCGAATATACTGCTGGAAAACTTCAATTATCCGAGGCTTATCTCACTTTTCTGTCAAATGATCAAAAAAACTGTAGTATTGTCTTGCCATTATATACCGTTCGAAGGGTCGAGCGTCTTAACAGTTTTAATGTAAATTATTATCTTGCTCTTTCTATAATAAATTGGCATCAAATGTCATTGATATTTCAAGTAGAAGGATCTAAATCAAAATGTGAAAATTTTTGTAACACCCTTAAAGAAAATTTAAAAGGTCAAATCCGTTACATGAAAAAATTAAGGCCTTTTTTAAATACTTGTTCGTCTGAAGTATTATTGAGCAATACAAAAAAAGCATTCAAATTTGGGGGTTTGGGATTAAAATTTGGATTTCCTGGTGATCCTAAAAAGTAATCTTATATCTAAGTTATATCTGTTTTTTGACATTTTTAATTTTTATCAAATTAAAAATTATTTCATACAATTAGAATGAAAGATTCAAGCAAGACGAATTATTGGAAAGACTATCTGCAAAGTAGGTTTTATAAATAAGATATTTATATGTATATATTTTTATATTTATTTTGATTGGTTATTTATTTATCTATTTTTAATTGAATAGCTAATGGTAGAAATTTAACATTGGTTAGAATTCCGAGCTTTACCAAACTCGTACGTGTAGGACTACCTAACATGTTGCGAGGTGAATTATGGGAATTGTGTTGCGGTGCAATGTATTTACGATTTGTTAATGGTGGATTGTATGAAAAAATACGTCAAGATTATGCGGGAAAAGTTTCACTTTCAACTGAAGAAATTGAGAAAGATTTGAACAGATCTCTTCCAGAATATAGTGCATATCAAAGTCCTGATGGTATTGATACTTTAAGACGTGTGCTATCTACTTATTCTTGGAAAGATCCTGAATTAGGTTATTGTCAAGCAATGAATATAGTTGCATCTGCTATATTAATGTAAGGATTCACCTTTTCGTTTTTTTTTTTTTTTTCCAAAAAAAAAAAATAATAATAAGTTCAACAATTCTGTTAAAATCTATTTATAGTTATACAAGTGAAGAACAAGCATTTTGGATTTTAAGCGTTTTATGTGATAGAATGTTGCCAGGATATTATAGGTTGGTAAAAAATTTTTTTGCATGGTTGATGCTTTTTTAAAGAGAGAAAGAGAAACCGTTAATTAAATCTAAATTTGAACTTCATATTAATTTAATAGTACTTCAATGTACGGAGCGATTTTGGATCAAATAATATTCGAACATTATGTTCGTGAAACAATGCCAATACTTTTTGAACATTTCCAAGATGTCGATGTTCAATTATCAGTAGCATGTCTACCATGGTTTCTTAGTCTTTTTATTAATTCCATGCCGCTTTTATTTGCTTTTCGTGTGCTTGATCATTTTTTTATGGAAGGACCAAAAATATTGTTTCAAGTTGGGTAAGATTAGTAATTAATTTTATTATATATGAAATATAGTATAACCATATCTAACATATTATCTACTTATAATATTTATATTTAGATTAGGTAAATAAACAAAAATAACTTCTCATTTGATTATAAATAAAACCACACAGTTATATATTAATTTTATATATATATATATATATTTACATAGCAATCTTAAAGATTAATGGTAACGAATTATTAAAAATAACAGACGACGGTCAATTTATTGATGTTTTAAAAAAATATTTTTTATCGTTGGATGAATCATCATATCCTAATAATCCAAATCCAAAAATTAAAGCAATAACAAAGTTTAGTTATTTGATGAGTTTGGCATTCAGGGAATTTTCAATAGTAACCACAACAAATATACTTGAACTTCGAAAATCTTATCAACTTAAAGTGGTTCACAATATTGAAAGTTTTACGAAACGTAGTCAAATTCGAAATTTAAAAGATACATCTAAATTTTCGAAGGACGATATATCAGCAATCTACGACAAATATTATAATGCACAGTTTTATGGAAAACAACGCAGTGTTCGAAATGATTCACGTATGGATTTAAATACGTTTTATCGATTTTTAGGTAGCGTTGTTAGTTGGGCTAAGCTGGACGATGATGATATCAGTAAAGAGAATGGTTCAGCAAGGGACAAACAAGGACGTAGACTCGTAGGATACGAGCTTATTAACAAGTTGTTTGTTCATTTTGATGGATCATTATCAGGCGGACTTACATTGCAAGATGTTATTTTAGGTCTTGGTGAAATAATGTTTGGTGACTTGATGTCACGTATACATTTTTTTTTTAAATTGCATGATAACGATAATGATGGGTATCTTTTAAAAGAAGAAATATTACAAATGTCAGAAAGTTTCTTATTTATATTTAGAAATCGACAAGATGATAGACATCTTAATTCTGTTTCGAATTTCATAAAAAATTCTTTTGAATTTTCTGATCCATTACAACCAGAGAAAAATCAATTAAAATTTAATAACCATGATAGTATAAATTCAAAGTTACAATCCCAAAACGAAAATGTGGAGGATAAAAATGAGAGGGATGAAAACGAGGAAAATAAAAACGAGGGAGATAAAAACGAGAAAGAAGAACAACGGCTAAAAGAAATCAAAGAAAAGATTATTATGAATGATACAGAGGATTATAGAATGTCCCTTCCATCATTTAGAATGGTTATTTTGGCTGATGCCTACCTCGAAGAATTTTTTGATAAAGACTTTGCTGAATCATTCAAATTTATTGTACCAACTGAAGAAAGACAAAGAAGTTTTGGTCGTGAAATATTTAATTCTTTGATGACAGATGGTATGAAAATGGCAGGAAATTTTGGTAAAAGATTGAATTACCGATTATCAAATTCACACAACAATAGTTCATCAATTGATCCCAAAAAAGTCAATACGTCATCATCAATACCATCACCGTCATCATCTTCATCTTCTTCGTCAAAATCAAAACCGTTTAAAACTATTGCAAAAACTACTATAACCACAACCCCACCATCAACAACTTTATCATCATCACCTAAACTAGATAATAATAATGATTCTACTGTTTCACCTGAAAGTGAACCTTTACTTGTGACAACACATGGTAGTCCATCAGAATCTTTTCTTTCAATAGAGTCAAACAAATCTTCCAAGGCTATAGAATCTCCTATATCCTTTGAATCAGATGATGATGATTATTATGAAGATGATGGACTTTTACAAGAAGTTGATAAACTTTTGAATGAATGTAACGTAAACTTGGATGGTATTTATTTCCTTCTATCTATTTTCTTATCTATTTAATTAAAAGCTTTTCCACTATTTTAAATTTTATCGAATTATATTTTTCCTTAAAAAAAAAGATTCATTGTTAGATAACGATGATGATAATCACACAGATTACACGAAAGAAGGTAATTGTTTGTTTGATTTTTTTTATTTTTATAAAACTTTTATAAAACTTTCATATTTTAATTCTAATTTTTTTATCCTTCTCAAAAAAAAAAAAATAGGCAATTTTGATAGATTATCAAACGAGATAAAAAAAAATTAAAAATATAATAATTTATAAATCTTTTTCTAAAAAAAACATAGAAATAATAATTTATTTATATATTTGTCATTGGTTTATTAATAGCTGATTATTCATTTTTGATAATAATAATTGTACATTTATGTCTTTGTAATCTTAAACTTCTAGTCTAGAGAGTTTTTATAAGATCTGAATGTATTTTATATATATATATTTTTTTTTTACAATAAAGAATATTTATTGATTAAATAATTTTGATTCAAAATCAGTTATTGATAGACTTTTTTAAGAGATTAATTGACAAACTTGACCTACATACACTTTTACAAGAATTGTATTAACATCTGGCTCTTCCAATATATTCAACATTTTAAAATAAATTGATTTGGTTTCTTGTACATTGAAATATTAATATAGAAAATCAATTGATGTGACAATGTCACACGGCCAGTAAGACTCCTTCGATTTATTCGCGGATCGTCAATTAAAATATTATTTAATTTTAGAAAAATGACAACTATCGAAGAAGTTAGAAACGAATTAAACCGTGCAAATAATGGATTAGATGCTGCAGTGGGGGAGTTGAAGAGGTTTGACGATGTGAAGAGGTTAGGCGAAGTGAAGAGGCTAGGCGAAGTGAAGAGGCTGTTGAGGAATTTGAATAATAAAATAAGAAGAGAAAGAGATGAGGAGGAAAAGAAAATTTTAGAAAGGGATAAAGAAGAATTGGAAGGGGAGAGAGACGAGTTGGAGAAAAAAGAAGAGAAGTTGGAGGTTGAGAGGAATAAGTTGGAGGTGAGGAGGGATAAGTTTTTGGACCAGGTGAACTTTTTACAAAAAGCATTAATCAACTTTGGCAAAGAAGAAGGTAAATGAACAAATTGCATAAAAAAAATATACAAAAAATTATTTCAATTTGTTCCATTTCGTTTTATTTATTCACTTGTATACCATTTGAACATTGACTAACATCTATTCATCACATTTATCATTATCATTTATTCATCTTGTTGTGAGCAAACATTTTTTATGATATTGATTAACTTGTACTTTTTTCTTTCAATAATTTAAATTTTAATCTTTTTAAAATCATGCTTTCTTCTATAATTTGTGGTATTTTAGCAAAAGGAGGATATTGTCATTTAAAATCAATTATTATCATGAAACATTAATGATATTTCATATCTACATAAATTATCCTAATTTTTTATTCCTTTAGTTCATTGTCATTTTTTATTTGCTAATTTGAACAATCAATTGATATGTCATTATAATTTAGCTAACTTCATCTCTAATATTTTTTTTATAGCTCTTCTATCAAATGAGGGAATATGTTCTGGTGATACATCATTCATTATATTAAGAAATAAAACTGTTACTGGACTTGTTGAGATGATTCGACAAACTCGTGTTGTTCAAGTTAGAGGTCCCCCATATTCTGGAAAGACTAGTTTAGCACAAGCAACTGAAATTTATATCAGAAAGAAGTATCCAAAAACACAAGTCATATTTATTACTTTTGCTGCTGCCAATGAGGATTATGAATTTGAGAAATATATTAAGGTGAAAAAAAATCATATTTTGTGTGTATGAGATGATAATAATCAAATTCTATTATTATTATAATAGGAAAAATCTGGTAAATCATGGGATGAATTTTAAACTCAGAAACCAACACAGTAGTAATATTTGATGAAGGACAACAAACTTACAATAAAGAAAAACACAAAACACATATACTTTGGGAGGGGACAATCAAAATGATACTTCAATCTAATACCCGACTTTATCAATAGTTTTGTTTTGTGCTTATGATAGTTCTAATGATACAAGCCTTCCTAAGTTAGCTACTTCAATCAAATTTAAATCAGGAAATATTGTTACAATGCATAGTAGAAAAGGGAAATCATTGGTTTGGAACTATTTGATGAAGAATTTGAGATGATGAATAAGTTCAGTAATGTATATTTTAGACTTGGAAATTCTGTCAGAAGTTTAATCAAAAGGCTTACTCACAACCATGCAGGACTAGTTCATCACATCTTGGATACTTTGAGAAAGAGGATTATGAATAATGATCGAATTGAAACCAGATCTACCCTGCATGGAATTTTTACATTCAAGGCTATTTGCTGATACTCTGCCAATTTATTGCCGTGGATGTCCTCACTATAATACAATTCACAATGATCCTAATATGGAAAAGTTAATACTTTAAAATATATAGTTTCAGTCCAAGCCTTATTTTTTTTTTCTGGCATTTTTTTCTTTACTTATGATTATTAATCCATTTCCAAAAGGTTGTTAGATGATGTCTATTTTAAGCCAAATGTGTCAATAAACCTTTACTCACCAGGAAGAAAAGCTGCAGTTGAAAGAGCAATAGAATTTGGATACATATATGAAGATGAGCCTTCTATTTTGAGATTTGCATCACCTTTATATGAGAGATCTTATTTCCTTGCAAAGTAGGCTTTACTATACATTATAATATAACGTGTTTATATTTATGTCTCATAATACTATATTCATAGATATGGGAAGCAACGACCTGAACTTTTTCAATACAACAAATTTGAAGAATTTATCAAAGAGGCAATTCAAAGATTAAAACCGTCACAACTTCAAAATACAATGAGTTATGGTGTTAGGGATAAAATTTTAGAGCGTCAACTTCAAATGGAGATGTATGTTACCATACAATCATTACTGCCTGAAAGTTATTTTATAAGTCCTGATGTTGGACCAAAACCGGGTTCTGATGGGTTTGTAGATTTTTTTATAAATGGGGATTTATCATGGTTTATAGAAATACTTGTGGAGGGACAGGGCACCAAGGAACATTTTAAGCATTTTCAAATAGGAGGGAAATACCATGTTATGCTGAAACCAAATTCAAAATATGCTCTAATTGATTTCAGGGAATCAATAAATGTAAGAGTTATAAGAGAGAATTGCCTTTATGTTTTGTTTTTAGATGGATATAAGAAAGCAAGGATACAATATGGTGATTTTAATAAAGAAATTTTCCTATTGGGCGATACTATTTTTAATGAAAAATAATAAAAATAATAATAACTTGACATGACTTGATTTTCATCAAATAAATATGGGATTAAACCAATTGCCATGTAAATTTATTTATTTAACTATAGTAATGATTGTTATATCAATAATTACCATTACCACTGAAAGAATTTATATATCTTCAAATTTGTTGAATTAAAAAAGTTCAGGTCATTGCTTCCCATATCTATGAATATAGTATTATGAGACATAAATATGTTTATATTATAATGTATTGCGAGCATGCAATCCGAGTTTCTTAATTAATAAGTTATTTAAAGTTCAACACACAGCCTACTTGCTGACTTATGGTCAATTTTCCTTTATTTATATGTATATGACACACAGCCTGCTCGCTGACTTATGGTCAATTTAAATTAAAATGATTAATACAAATAAATCTTGCAATTATTATAACATTGATTTTTCTAATCAAATAAAAAAGTTTTTTGAATACACCATTCAAAATACAAAAATTATTATTTAACAAAATTATCTTAGTGGAGCACCAAAATTACTATTAGGAACATTATTAGAATAAGATAAGGTATTGGGAGTATTTCCGTATTGTTGAAGTTGTTGTTCACTAGGCATTTCTAAAACATCACTTGGAACTGAATTTTTTTTCTTTTGATATAATCTTACAGCTATGAATGTTGCTACTGCAACTACCATTGTTATAACTAAAACTGCAATTATTATTATTAATATTTGAATAGTATTTTGTGATAATGATGAAGATGTTTCAGATTGTGATGGTGATGATGGTGGTGATGATGGTGGTGGTGATGGTGATGATGGTGGTAGGCTTGCTTCAGATGCTGAAAAACTTGTTTTCCAACTATAATCTTTAATATCAAGTATATAGATGTTTGCACTAGTTGATTGTGAAGCTGAAACAGCATTTGTAATATTCCCTGTATATATTGTTTGATTAATTAATTTTATGGTATGGTTGAAAGAATAAATAATTTTTAAAGAATATATTACCAAAACTTATGATCATTTGATCTCCAATTAAATTAGCTGAATGAAGTTTTAGAGATGGAGCACGATTAACAGATGAAAAATTAGGTGCAGACCATTGAAAAGGATTGGTGGTTGTATCTAGTACCAGAAGTTCAGGAAACGAGGTAGTATCTCCAGGCCATCTAAAACCACCATAAACAATTATCTTTCCATCCTTTGCTATACACAATATAATATTAGTATAATTTTTAAAAAATCAAAAAAAATTTAAAATTAAAATAAATTACAAAGCACAGCTGAATGGCCAGCTCGAGGTTGGATTTGTGATGGACTACTTGCTGTCTAAAATTTTCATCAAGTGTAAGAAAAAATAAATTAAACTATTCTGTTTTTTTCAATAAAAAAGTTTTTGTAAACGTTACATTTTAATTGATTAAATATTTACCATAATTGACCAGGTTGAACTATTTGTATCAAAAATTTTTAACTATAAAATAAAATAAATGTATGCATATATTTTATTTTCAAAAAAAACCTGAAATTTTTCTAAAATTTCTATATATATATATATAAATAAATGCATACTTTATTGATGTCAACTTCATTAAAACCTGACTCTCTTCCACCAATAATTACAATTCTACCATCAGGTAATAAAGTTGAAGTATGGTCAATAAGTGGTATTGGTAGATTAGTTGCAGAGGCTAAACTCCAAGTCAGGTCTACTGTGTTCAAAATATACATGTCATTAAAATATGTATGAGTAGTAGATCCAGTAAGATTAGATGCTACTCCTCCAAAAATATATATTTTTCCTTTATCATCTACAGCAATGCTGCCTTCTCTACGATTGACAGGAGCAATACCGGTTGTTTTTGGAGTATTCCAAACTCTGGCATTTACATCATATGCATAAAGCAAATTAGTGAAATCCAGATTTCCAGAAGCTAAATTTCTCATAATCCCACCAAATAAAAAAATTGTCGATTTATTTGATCCACCAACTGCACCTACAGACCATGAAGTTCTTATGGGCATTTTCTCATTTTCTATCCATGGTGCATTGGTAACACTGAAATCCTTAGTTAAATCCAAGTAAAATAATGAATTTGTCGTCCCACTATCAAGATCAAGTCCCCCAAGAACATAAAGTTTATTATCTATCACTGCACTAACAGCTGCATAACGTGGTGCATTGGGGTTGGAAATTACATTAGTAATAATAAATATTACAATAAACATTAAATGAAATTTGTTAGCTTTGAAATTCAAACTCATGGTTATTCTTTTTTTTTTATCGATTATTATTATTATTATTATTATCAAGTATATTCTAACCGAGCTGAAAATATTATTTTAAAATCCGGATTTCCCTTTAAATTTTTCAACTCAAAAAAAAAATAGGCTTAATATTCGATAAAGTTAAAAGTAAAATCCAGAATAATAAAAAATAGAAAAATTACGGGAAGATTTGGATTCCTCTTTTTTTTTTCGAATTCCTTATGAGGAATATTAATGTTAATATTGTTTGTAATACGAAAAATATTGTTTTAGAAATAATGTTTAGTAATTAATTGAGAGTATTCAAATAACTGACCTTATTTAGGTGATCACTATACCGAAGAACCATCATTGAAGAATAATTAATGATAATATAGAATTTGTTGTGTTTAATAGCGTAACGTATTAATACTTTAAACATTACTTCTAATGATGATATTGATGTAAGAGAAGGACTTAGAGATGTTCCATGTGCATGAAAAAAAATGCAATGCGCATGATTTTTTTTTCAAATCATGCAGAAAATGCAGAAATTAAATTTTATAAAGGTATATTTGGAAACTCATTGGCATGGATATCTACCAATAATGTGGATTTTGGAGCTGTGGCACCTGAATTGACAAAAGCTGCGGTAAGAGTTCTTTCTATTCCTACCTCTTCAGCTGCAACAGAAAGGAATTGGTCTACATTTTTTTATATACATGATAAAAAACGAAATAAATTGACAAATGGTCGTGTTTTTATATATTTTTTAATAATGAGTTGAAAACCCCAGATATAAGTAAAGTTACAAATGTAGGTGAAGATAATGATGACAAATTTTCACAATATATTTTTAATAATGAATAAATAATGCATTAAAAAATGTTAAAAACAGTAATGCCGAATATAATGACGAGTGATTTTCCTTAAAAAAAAAATGCATTGAATGAAATTTTGAAATTTTCCATCCCCAAGAAGGACATAACTACTCGGAAGTCAATGATATGATGGTTGTGATGATAACTTTGAAAATAATTCAAAATCTAGTAAAAAAAGTAAGGAAAAATCCATCAAGTCATGAATCTTGTTTTCTTATTAGTTTTGTGAATTGTCAAGCATTTCAATTTCAATTTCTTATTATTATTATGGTGCGTATTACCTATACTCATCAAAAATTTTCATGTGACTTCTAACTGTATCTAGTCCACCAATTTTAAAATTTTTTAAAAAATAAACGGTGCAAATATTACTTTAATTGATTCTCTTTCAATTCCACGGATTAAATTTTTTAATTGCTTAATTTTTTGGGGAGCTGATAGTGTTTAAAAATAGTCAATTTTATTAATAAATTTCAAATTTCGGAAGCCGATCATTACCAATCAGAATCCATTTGTTGTTCATTTTATCACGTGAAAATTTCTGGCCAATGAATAAATATTTTTAATGAAACACATAAGCGTAAAATCTTTAATATTAATTGTAACACATACACGTAAAATCTTTTGTTTCATATTAATTATTACAGATAAACAAAAAATGCCACCTCTTCCTAAAAGAAAAAGACAATTTAAAGATCAACCAAGAGATGCAGAAGGTAAGTATTTATTAAAAAGGGTATGTAATGTTAATAATAAAGTTGATGAAACAAGGCAGAAGGAAAAGCTGAAAGAGAAAGAATTGGATAAATTGGATGTTACTAATATTAATGAAAAATTGAATAATGAGAATGATGGTTGGGATAATACAGGGAAACATGCTAATGATCTAGTTGATGATGGAGATGAAGTAGAATTGGACAAATTGGATGTTATTAATAATGATGAAGAGTGGGGTGATGATGATGATAGTGGTTGGGATGATGAAGAAGATATAGAAGAAGAGATTAAAATAAATCAAAGATTAAAATTAGATTTAGTGTGGAAGGATAATAATTTATTGGAAAAGACAAAACGAGGTCCATACATGAAAGGCAAGATACCAAAATCAACATATTATGATAAATTTGGTCCAAATGGTATGTTCACTAAAGCAGCTGCTGGTACTAAAAAAATTACAAGTTTTTTTAAAAATAACAATGATGCTCAAGAAGGAATTTTAAGTGACATAGAAGAGGAATTTTCAAGTGATCCAGAGGATGAGGTTTGTCAGATTAATGAAAAAATACAAAAATTAAAAGATGAGTTAGAAAAGCAACACAGCAAGATGACAGTTGTTGAATATAATTGGAAGAGAGCTATTTATGAATACCTAACCCTATCAAATAATAATAATGGTTGTAGAAAAATTAGTGATAGTTTAGAAGCTGCTAAAAAAGTTTTCATTGATGGTGGTGTATGGAAAGCAACAAGAATCAGGTATATTACAAACTTTTGGTTGAATAACAATAAACTTCCTATTTCTAGACAAGGAAAACATAAAAAAACACATAGGTTGATTGATGATGAAGATATTGCTGATATGTGTAGAGTTTGGCTTCATGAACAAAATTATAATGCCACACCATCTAAATTTAAAAATTTTATTCAAGAAGAATTATTACCTAAAATTGGAGTTGCCAGAAGAAAAAACATTAGTTTAATGACTGCAACAAGATGGCTGAATGTTCTTGGTTACTCATTTCAGCAACATCATAAAGGTATATACAGTCCCTTGAAAAAAGTATCGCTTCACCTGATGATCGACGAAAATAATTGGATAACTTCTGTGATATAAAAA